GTGAGCAGGAGCTATCGTGTGGGTGTATTTTTTTTCCCAACGATGTGAGTTAACCTGTGTGCATGAAAGAGCGGGTTTTTTAAAAGGAAGCAATGTACAGCAACATGTAGCTCAGCGTGAACACAAGGGGTATTACTAAATGTTTTTACCCAAGGTTTCTTTCTTTTTACATTGCACCATAGCTATGTGACATTGCTATTTCAAACAAAATAGTCCTAACTTAAGTAAAATAGATCAAACTACTTTTTAGACTCTTAATCTTGATTCTTACTTAATTTCTTAATACAAATAATTTTCTAAAGTCCACTACCTTGAGCTTGGCTCTAGGGATAGTTTTATCCGTCGATACACCTTCACTTCCTGTCCTGGATGAAATATCTCAACAACTATTGGATGAAGTTTCAGGAAGTTAATTACAGTCGTTCATGCTAGGTCATGCTCACTGAACTGTTGAACTGTATCACTGTAAGCTTCTCATCATCAAGTCAAACATTTGCATGCTGTAGCCTCTTTAGTCTTGTTTTTTGTGCATAAAACAGATGATTGACAAGTTCTGGGTTCAACTATCAAAGATGCAGAGTGATCGTTGAAACCTAAATTGCAGACTAGTCTTGTTGAAAAGAAAAACATGTAATTCATGTGTAAATTCCTGTGCACTACTTTTTAAAATGTCACCATGGTTGTAGCCAGAATTTTAGAAATACTGAGGTCATGAGTCCAATTTCCTGCATTTTTTCTTTGTTTTGGATGACAACCCAACACAAAAACAAAATCTGTTAATTTTTATACACAATTGTGTGAATAATTAGAAATCTGAACTCCTCTTCAGGTTATTGAACTCTGAACTCTTGAAATTTCTCATTGTTCTCATTGTCCCTGACTCCGACAATGACTCACTTTTAAATGATTTGTCAGCTAAAGTTATGTGACACCTGTAAATGATGGCACAACAGGACAGATTCACACATATCTGAAATTTACTGCTCACAACTCGAGTAAACTATGTAGAGAATAGTTAGTGAGTGAACAAAGACAAAATGTGGAGTCAGGAGCTCAGAGTTCAAAGGTTGAAATGTGAACCATCTTACCTTGTTTCCACATTTCTAACTTTTCTTATTTCCTCTTCTTTCCAGCCCGGTGCTAGCAGCAGAGCCCACTCTCTCAGGTTGGACAGCTTGTTCAAGTCGAATGCTATTAGTTCTAGGTCAGCGCCTGGGCTTTCTCTACACCCCAACAACACCTTTTCACCAGGCAGGGATTCCAACCACCATTAATCAGAGTGGTGACAGCCCATGGATGTCAGTAAATATGTTTCCCTCACTGCCTCTTTTCTCCACCACCTTCCTTTCTCACTCTGTCTATTGCTCCTATGATTGTTCTCTTTCCTCTGTTCTATGTGGTTTAATGTTGACCTGTTCTTACTTTGGTGTTTATTATTAACATCGGGATTCAACAATGGAAGTATTCCACTACTAAGTTTGATAGTTTTAGGTGCAGTGCTTTCTGGTAGGGAGAGAAACTGAGAGCATATTGACAGAAAAAAAAACTGCACCAAGGAGCAGAAAATTGCTTCGAGGGGCAAAATTAAACTCTTTTGCTTGTTTCCCTGCTACACCCAACATTCTCTTACATCCAGCTTGCATTTGAATATTTTATATGCATGTTTTTTTTCACTGAACATAAGTGTTGGCCAGGTGCTTATGAATGTTGTCAGAGAAAAACGTCTACTCAGTGGAGACAGTGTGACAGTTTCCTCTCCTGCATGGGTGGTAAAGCTGACAAGGGGGGATGAGTGTTGGCTAGCGTGGTGGCTGGTGTGTGTTTGTGTGTGTGTGTGTGTGTGTGTGTTGGTGGGTGGGTGTGAGTGGGTGACATGCAGGCAGAGGGCCAACGGCAGCCAGTTGGAGAAGTGGATGCCCATCTCGGTTGGCATGCAGGGCCGTGTACCTGCTGCTGTCCAGAGACAGCTGTAATGTAGCCACCCATGGCCGTGCAATCAGGTTGGTGGCTACTGAATGCTGATAATGCTGCAGTCTGCGCTTTTCTCTGCCTGGCAGACGGCGCTGCGACCAACCAATGACAGGCATTCCTCGTGAAAATAAGTCAGGCTGGAGCCAGAGAAGTAAACAGAGAGCAGGAAAGAGCAGGAAGAGACAAAGAGTGAGAGATATGAAGAGATAAAGAGAGGATAAAGAGAGAGAGAGAGCACGAGAGAGAATGCCATGGAACAAATGGTGACCTTTGCAAAGATGGATTTGTTTACCAACAAATGCTCTCGCTGTCAGCAACTGCTCTAGAGTGACCTTCACGCAGAGTCAGAGCTGACGGCACTCATCTGTTTATCTTTGTGCCCACTCGTCGTATCAATTGAACAGACAACATGAGCCATGTTTCCTCTGTATCTGTCGATGCATGGAGCCCTTTCATTCCACTGCATACACTCATGTTCACTTAATCACTATTAGCTGTAATCATGTGGGCCCAAACAAACCCGCACTAACAGGCTCATGGCAATAATTCCTCACTTGATTTATGGGTTGGAGTGATAAATGCAGGAGACACTCTGTTGTTAGAAATATATGAAGCTATTCTGTTTAACACTCTCTGAATTGCCAAATGAGTTTAATATGTGTGTGAATCTGCACCCTAATATTGTTGTTCACGTTGTACCATAATATGGTACATGTCTGAATGGTGCGTTTCAATTAAACTTGTCTCGCTTTGCCTTAGCTTCCAGGCCAAGTGGATTTAGTTAACTTTACATATATGACTTCACATAACACATAAGAAGACTGTATCTAAATTGTGTATGGTGTTTATGTGCAGTCTGGACAACTCCTAAATACCTTCAGCTGTGATATTTTTGTCAGCTTAAAGGTCCAGTGTGTAACATTTAGGAAGATCTACTGTCATATTCATAGGTATGTTTTCATTAGTGTATAATCAGCTTAAACTAATAATTATGTTTTCATTACCTTAGAATGAGCCATTTTATCTACAGATCGTGTGAATTGCCATGTTGAACCACCGTGTTACTACAGTAACCCAGAACAGAGAAACCAAACACTGGCTGTAGATAGAGCCTTTTGCATTTTGCAGCCACCTTAGTTTCTCCTACACACTTCACAGCCTGTTCTTACTCCTAGATTGAGTCCTGCTAGATGCCACTAAATCCTACACACAAGGCCTTTAAGATGTCTGTGTTGTATAGACTCTCTGTAACACTCTCCTGTTAAAGTGATAAGTAAGTCTTACATTAAAACGTATTAAACTAGAGGCCTAGAGGTGTGAGCCATTACAAGATTAAACCTGTTTTCCTCATGTTAATAAGAGTTGACTTTGTATCAGGCGCTTCAGTTATCCCTGCTGCCACCAGATGGCAGTGTTGAACTAAAACTGGTGCCTTCTACTATTAACACAGTGACTACACAACACACAAACCAGCAATGGATACAATAAAACTGTTTCAATTATAGCAACAATCAGTTGAATCAATTACGGTAGTATCAGTATGTGGGCATTTATGTTGAACTAAAAGCTATAAAGACTAAACACACATTTAATTTTGGTGTCCAATTAACTATGTGTTCGCATATTAATGCTAATATGGTTCTATTCATAGGATAAAGTGGGAGGTTATGCAGGTTTTAACACACAATATTGTGAAAAAGTTAAAATAATCATAGCACATAATACACTTGAACCTGAACATATGCCCCGCCCTCTGCTATCTGATATCATCTGCTGTATGATTCTGATATGACTTTCTAATTCAAGTACTTTAAACTGTATTTCTGGTTCCAAAAAGCTTCAAAGTTAATTAAATTAAAATTGTCTTGTATATCTTGTTAATGTAGTACAACCCATAACCTGCCTAAAGGGTGCCCATATATTTTAAATAGTAAGTCAGACTAAAAAATTTGATTTAAACTAATTCAAACAAATGCTTGAAAGCTGAATTTTATTTTGCTGACTATATACACCATTTACCTTCTGTCCTAATGTTTTAGGAAATGAATCAGCCTCCTATCCGTTTTTTTGGAGCAGCTCCAGATTTGATGTATGTTCACACGCACACGTACACGTGTACAGTCTCAATCAATGATTCATGTTTGGCCTGTGTTTGACTCTCCTGCAAACCCCAAAATTTAATTATTAAATGCTTGCGCTGTCTGGAAAGAGGCAGAACTCTACCAACAGGAGACTGTGGTGCAGGCATAATGTAAAGCGTACTGTGCTTTTGATGTCATCACACAATGGAGGCACTCAGGCCAACAACTAACTCAGTTTGTAGGGAAAAAAAAAAAGATTCATGATGAAGACGCTACTGCACTGACTGCTTTTTAATGAATCCAAATATTTGTAAAGAGTGAACCGAACAGAATGAAACATCATTTAGCTTTGGTCCTGCCACCGTCTCACACAACAATTGATGTTCTCATGCACCCAAACTATTTGTCACCACAGTGAAGTGGTTTCTGAAGTGGCTAGCAGGTTGTTCAGCCCTCTTTACCTTTAGGGCATCAGAACAAAGCCTGCATTCACATTCAAAGCCCTGTCGTGCATCTGTGACAGCACAAACGGTAATGGTTTGCATTAGCTTGTAACGTAGCAATAAGTGAAAAAACAAGAGTGTCTGCTTTGGGCCTGTAATTACTGTTTCTGTCTGCTTCTGAGGACAACGCCAAATTATCCACCACAGACAAGGAAATCCCCAAACTCCAGTAGAAAAGAGTCTAAAACCTGAAACGTTTCCAGGGAGACCTCTAATAACAGCCTTTAAGTACATTCCGTGCTAACAAAAACGTGTGAAGTTATTAAAAAACTTACCCCAGTAATTCTGATTTCTAATGTTGAATTATTCCATATTTGATAAATTATGCTCAACAAAGCAAATCTGACTAAATATAAGAATAACCTTTACAGTTACTGAAATACAGATGTGGTTTGACATTTAAGATGCTTCAGTTTCCTTCTTACATGGCATCGCAGCCCCAGTATCACCACAAGATATATATTTTATTCATAGACCAACAATAATAAACAAAAATATAAAGCATCACATCAACTTTTTATAGGCAGAGAAAAATAAAAGGTATAATTTTATACAAGACATCTAAGAAGACCAATTGAGAACATAAAAACATGAATCACAACTAATAACGATTACAGTTAACAATTTAAACAAGGGGGAAAAGTACAAGCATTATAACTTGAAGAGTGTATAAAATGACAAATTTGCTTGCAAAATATTCCCTACTGGGTAATTACATTGACATGGGGTTAAAGAGCCCATAAGGATCAGGGCTGCTGCGTTCAAGGACACTAGAAGCTCTACAAAGAGCTGCCTTGTCTCAGATTTGTAGATGCTACTGTTTCTGAAACAATCCCACTCTGTAGTTTAAAGATTTAAAGGTCACCATTATTTAACAGAGATTAAAATCTACCAGCTTTAAAAGTAAAATTGTATGGCTTTGTGGTTCTCTTGAGTCCCTAAAATGTTAAATAGTAGCACCACTGGGCTGGCATTATCATCAAAAGCTGGATTATTGTAAATAAGCACTGTAAAAAGAATCCAAACGGCGTCCATGTTTACCCACTGTGTCTTTGTCTAGTGTTATAAAACCAGAAGGAAATCGATCCACTTCCACCACAGTGGGAGGTTGAAAGGAAACAGGACCAAACCTAAGACTCTGCTTTCCTATTTCAGCAATAGCTTTCGTAACATATTTTTAGCTTCTTTTTTTTTTGTTCTCCCGTTTACAAAACCATCAACATTATAAAGGTTAATGGTCAGATTATAACACATGTATGTACTACCTGTACATAGACCTAAAACAAATAGGGACATTAGATTTTGAGAAGCTACTGTTATTTACATGCCTCTATCTATCTAAACATTTCCCTTTGTAAAAAGCTGTGCTTTGTACTGAAAAATACAAGGTTAGTATCCCCAGACCTGCTAGCAGTATTTTCTGTCATGTCATGCAAAAACACCTAGAGAAGACAAAGTCATCACCATATTGTCCTACAAAAATAATTGGTAGCAAAATAGACGTTAAAGTCTCGAGAGTCATGCATCTGTCCTGTTCACTGGTTTCTGTACATAATTCATCTGTTGTTTTACGGTCCTGAGTGTGCAAAAAGTCAATATTACTGATGGCTAAAAATAAGACCAATGTTATGGACTGCTGAGAGAGAAAATTAAAAAAGCAAAGGCATCTTCCTGCTCTCTTTACACAGCCTTCTGCAGAGAACTCATATCACACAAGTATTCCAACTACATTTTGTGTGTTCGGTTTATAATTTAACTAAATGTTTGCATAATAATACAGTATGTAAGATGTTTTCAAGTTCTGTGTAAATTCCTATTATATACTACCTACTACACAATACAATGCTGCAAAAGTGTTTTGCAAATTGGCAAAGCTTCCTGAAATTAATGCAGGATATATTTCATATAACCCTCTGACAATAACTACTACAGCTGTGAACTACAACTGCCATTTAATGTACTTTGCCAACATCGCTTTACTGGAATATTTTACAAAAGTGCATCATCCTCCTCATGACATCTGATGAATGCCACTATCTTTAAGTACTCGTATATGGGTTTAAAGAGTTGTGACTCCTGTCTGCTCGACTGTATCCTGAAGCATCAGACTGCTTTGTAATCTGGGCCTGTGTTCAAATCAATGTATGGTTTACAGTTATCAGAGAGGGAAAAGGTTTTATCTAAAGTTTCACTGATTTCTTGCTTTATCATTTGTTTCTGTCTGAAACTCAAAGGTCTAGTTAAACATGTTATTTGTCTTGTCAGAGTGACATAGGCTGCATAAAATTACAGTATGAAAACCTACACAAATATTCCTGCTAGGCTTACAGTATATTCCTTCAGACAGTGTTTACAAATGGTAGTTGAACATTTCCTTTATATCATCACTGGGTCACATTTATAAATGTCTTCATAAGCTATCAAATGCCCAAATACAGAAACAAAGTCAAGTGAAATGCATTTAACATGATCTTACACATGCTTTACAAAATTGTTATTAATCCTTAAAAATATGTAATTCATTTTTTTTTAAAACCACTTTAAAATCTGTACAAAAAAAATGTAAAAATCATGAAAAACAAGGAACGAAGAAACCTCCTCCCATTGCTACAGCCTTTCTGGCACTTAGATGCCAAATATTAAAAAATTGCCATCAAAATAATTCTGGACAAAATGTGAAGATCATACTAACATGGTACTGCTTTACTGCACTTGTCCCCTTTTGCCACAAACAATATGTATATAAAAAGTGCTACTGACAGCTGGTGGGGAGGAAGGACTAAGTTACAGATTGAGGATTGGCTGAATGAGGGAGGTGGGGGGTGGGGGCTCATCTTCTTTCCGTACTTGTGTAGCCGTTCTTGTCTGCATGCAGTCTGTGTGTTTTTAGTCACTGACAGCAGACGTGTACAGGAAGTGGGTGGATGAAGGATTTTCCTAAGAGACGCTGGAGCAGCGGATGCTGGGGGAGCCCATTTGTGTGAGCACCTTGTCGAGCCACTGCAGGGGGCCGTTCAGGTGCAGTTCGATCCAGCAGGGGGTGCTGGTCACTGTCTGTCGCCTGGGAGAGACACAAGGAGAGCAGAAAACAGATGTTAAGCACACAGAGAAATCTGTTTCAGAGCAGGACTTGTGTGAGTAAAGTTACAAAGTCAAGTTTCAACAAATTCAAACTACTCTACTTTCATTTCAGCCCCCATGTAAGGCAGACAGTTAAGTTGCCAGTTAAGACAGAATTTAAGAGCGAGCTGAAAAAAACAACTCTCTCTTTTGGGAGTGAAAACCCTAAGATAAATTTGTTTCATATGGGTCTATCTTATCAATGAATCAGCCACATAGTTATGCATTTAGCTGAATCACAATAAATGTGATGACATGAGTCAAGACAAAATGCCAATTGTGGGTATCATACTGTAACTCAAAATAGGAAGTTTAGTTTCATAAACATGTGTAACCTTTGCTCTGTAAACCTTTGAAAAACCCCAGGATTAAAAAGGGATGTTAATGTTTGTCCATTTACACGTTTTAAAAAAAGAATAATTGATGATTTATTTTGTTCTTGTTTCTTAAAAAACAAGAAGTTTAGAAGAGGCAGTACAAGAAACATTCCCAGACATTCAACCTCTTCAGATCCTTTGGCTCTTCCCTGATTACAGCTGTCATACAAAAACCTTCAAAGTAATATAATCTATGAGTCTAAAAAGGAGTTAAGTCACAGCTCTCATGCCTAAAGTTCCTGGTGAAAGACCAGCATCAGCTTCAGAAAACACTGCACACCCTGTATTACAAAAAACAGATTGTATGTGCTATAAAAAAGAGCTGTTAAGATTTCCAAAAAGACTTTGGTTTCAATCTGCCTCACCCAGTGATAACCCTGTCATGCCTCTAAGCTTTTTTTCCTGACAAACCACATTTGACACCAGGGTTGTGGGTTGTTGCTTTTTTTATTTTTTGCAAGAACTGAAGATTTCATTTGGTTAAAAGTTTTGAGGCAGCTTGCATGAGCTAAGTAAATAAAATAACTAATACCATCAACTCACAGTCACTGCCAACAACAACAGCAGGCAAAATGTATCCTGTATGTTATCATCCATCTAATTTATGCACTGGCAAGCCAAATGAACAGAGACACTTGCCAGCTGCATGATTTCCCTCTGGTTTATACGGTTTGTTTCATGAGTACTGGAAATAAGCTTCTGTCTGAATAAATTATGTGGGCAAATTAGATTGTTTTGCAAGATGTTTTATCATTTTTACATGTACCTGTATTTTTTTTGTGAATTAAAAAAGGACTGGTAAAAGGGACAAAATAGGAGAAGAAAACAACGACCAACAGTCAGTGTGGGAAAATATGGAGAGAGTGAGGTGTGGGGTGGAGGTAGAGAAGAAGGAGGGCCTGGCTGGTCCAGTAACCTGAATCCTGCTTTTAAGTGTCTCCACATGTCAGCATTCGGTCTGGACAGAACTGGTGAGCAGCACAAAGGTTTCCCCCTTGAGGAAACCCTCCTGTGCACAGCCAACTTTCAGCCAATCATCTGCTCCCCTTTTATTCCGTCTCCTTCTTACTTACTATCAGTGAGTCAGACTGTATGGAAAACAGGGAGGGGATGGAAGAGGGAAAGTCTGACATCTTTTTTTTTGACACAGCACATGTGTTTGTTTTAAAATAATCTGGCGTGCCAACTGGGGCCTGTTTCTATTGATGAGGGCTCGGCGACGTCATATACCGGATTCACCAGAGTGTGAGCAGATGCCTGAGAGCGGGGGCGGATTGTGGGATGTGATTCACATTCTGTTTGTTTCTTTTGTCTGCGTTTACATAAGGGTTTGCTAAGGACTTGATATTTGCACAATGCCACTAATAATGCTGCCAACGTGTTGGTTGTGGGTTTTATCATCTGATCAGCAGTTTCACACTGTGGCAGTTGGGGTTTACCGTTTAGGAAACGGATGAGTGATTATCATTAACCAAAAGCTAATCTGTGACTGCAGCATACCTGTACTCGGCTCCCCAGCCCTTGACGAAGCTCATGCGGATGGTACACATCCTGGTAAGTTGGTACACAGCCTCAAAACCCTGGTTGACAGACTGGGCCAGCAGGGCAGCAAACTCCTGGTTGTTGAAGATCTTCAGGTTACATCCTAGAGGAAACAACCAAGACACAACCAACGTCAGGTAACAACAAATGGACACAATGGACTTAATTTAACCGTATTTAGAGATGTACATAATACCGCTTTTGGGGAGGTTTAGCTTAAAAGGGAACTCCACTGACTTTTTAAAGGTCTTGAGGAGTATGACTGCATATGTTAAAAAAGTTGTCTTTTGTGGTTCCAGAGGGAGTTGACATCTGATAAAGTGCCTCAGTTGGGCCTGAAGATTGGGGGGGGGGTTAGAAAGATCTGATTTTACCAGACCTGCTTGAGGCTAGTAGCTCGAGGTGCTTCTAGCATACCACACCCAAATCTCAGACCAGACTGATTTTATTTTCTTTGAGCATACAAACATCTTGCTTCGGACAGGAAAGGAGAGGAAAAACCTTTATTTTTAACTAGACTAGCCAAAGAGGACATCCCTGGAGTGGTGGTGAAGGTAAAACAGTCACAGTAAATCTGTTCTGAATCATCCATTTTGAAGAATTAAGTCAAGTTAGACTAATCAGAACTTGGCTAACAAGGCTCTTCAATGCCGTCAGTTTTGCCACAGACATTTAAAGTGGTTAAACTGGGGAATTTTGGCAGCATAAAGTCACTGATGTGTGTTTGTCAGTGACATCTACTACTGCAATTATATATTCTTACCCCAAAGACTACACTCAGTTCACAACTTCATACTGGACTTTTTTTTGGTAAACAAGGGAGAGGGTGTCTCTGTCGGCTTGACACACACCTGGAGGGATCTTGCAGACTGTGGCAGGGTGCCAGCCATAGCGCTGGTTACAGTTGGGACTCTGGACAAAGATGGCGCTGTCGCTGAGACACTCAGCAAACACTTCTCCTCCGATGTAATACAGCCGCACACCACGGCCTTAAAGAAAACAGAGACAACAAACTCCTTAAATAAAACTCACGCTACAATGAAGACAAGAGAGGTAATTACAAATAGAGTAAAGTAATGTCTTATTTGGAATTTATATAAAAAAAGGAGTCATGTGATTATAAGTTAATTATCCTATGTGCAGAGCAGATCTAAATGGAGTCCTACCAATATGTCTGCGTGTTAACTCCACAGCTGCGTTGCGGTTGACGTTGGACAACAGCCCCAGGCAGAAACGCTCTGAGTTGGAGGGGTCTGTGAAGCCGTCCACCGTAAGCGAGGGCTGCGAGGCGTGGAAGGTCTCGCCTACTCTCTGGTTCAACTCGTAGTAGGAAATAGAACACCAGAAGGCCGGCTCGCAATATGTCACTGGCTGAAGGTCTGACACAGAGAAACGAAGAAAGATACAGTTTGCTTTCATCAAGACTAGAGAATGGGGTGCAACACTGTGGCTGGCTGAGTGGAATAGACTGAAATGAAATCAATAAGAACAAGAATGGTTGATATAATACAGGAGGAAAGAAACAAATGGGTAACAGGAGATGGGAGTCAAGGTTAAGAGGAAAAAAGTGGACTTAAATCAGATCAATAATGGCCAGAAATTGGAAAGGATGAGCAACAGAAGCAAAGAAGGGGCGAAATGTGGGGAAAAAAGGGGCTGAAGAGGACGAAGAGGGGCAAGAAAAACACTACCAAAAGAAAACATTAAGCTGAGCTTGCGTCACAAAATGTCAATCCCATACACTGTTTCCCAGAAGCTTTTACCAGACAAAATGTGGAAACTCAACCCTCACTGGTGGGACGCTGGAGCCAAAACGGTCAAATTACAGGCTTATCCATGATCATTTTCAGTAACTTCAACTGGTTCTGGTAATTTGCTCTTTTTCCCCTCAACATGGCCACACTGTCCTTGGCTTTGAAGTCCACAACAGAGCTGGACGGCATTGCCAAATGAAACTGGTGTGATTTTGTTATTTTACCAGTAGCCTTCTGGCCAAGCCCCCTGGCGTTTTTCCATCCTGATAGAATAAACATAGGATGCTGTCATTGACGTTAGCGTGGGCTGAATGGTGACTTGGCCCGATTCAACAGCTCACATGGTGCAGGGAAGACAAAGGCTTCTTTCATCACCTGGTTTCCTCTTACAAAAATGGAGTTACATCAAAGAGAGAATTCCCACTGGGGAGATACACTATTGAAACATTTGTCTGTAAGTGAAGGCAGGCAGACAGAAAAGTACACAAACACACACACATACATAGTGCTTACCTAAGTTGCTGTGTGTGGGTGAAACAGGGTTAGGTGACAGGTTTGGGGAACTTGTGTCCATGCTGTGAGTCATCTGGTGATCACTGGTCTCTCCATCCTCACTGAGGTAGCCTGGTGGCGGCGTTTCTGAGACACAAAGAAACACATGCGACATAAAGACATGCACACATTCAACAATTAATTGCATTTGTGGTCTAAGATGGATCTGGTGGAAATCTCTGCTATAGTAGCTGATTTAGACACAACACAGGAAGACAAGAGGGAGAAGAACAAACGCTGGCAATCTACAGTTCATAAAATCAATATCAAATACGGCAAATTTTCAGTTTAGTTTTCTTACTGATGCACCAAATTCTTCACTGTGTCTGTTTCTTTTATTAACTTGCTATTTTTGCTACTCTGATATTGAATCAAATTGTCCTATAAGCCTAAGGTTCAGAACCCAAGCCGAATAAATGAAAAATAACTGTGGGGAGAATCAAAACCAACTGAATAACTTTAAGCTTTTGGGTGTTTTTTGATTATTTATAAGTTTTACAACTTTTGTACACAGATATGGTAATGAAGATGATCCAAAAATGCTGTGAAATTGCATATTGTGTATTGAAAACTGTAAAATATACCCTCAAGAACCCTCAAACTCCCCCATCTCACAATTCTGACATTTTCAACTACTTGATGTGTGAGAATACGGGCTGCTCAACGGTGCGCACAACAGCACTGCTGCTGAAAACAATTCTAGGGTAAACACTGTCCTCAGCAAACATATATCACTGTGTCAGTTTGAAAGGGGAACAACCACCAATTCATATAGGTCAATCATTTCTAACACTGCACAGCAACAATGCAGTTATCTGAAGTCACTCAGAATCTTTAGTGTAATTCAACAATTACAGTGTGTAAGATACAGATGTAGGAGCAGAGGTTGTCAGTGCTCAACAGAAGAGCAGGTTTGACTAACTAAGCAACACAAAATTAAGGATCCCAACCGTCTGATCAACAACTGCTCCAGAAGAACGAATTTTCTCTTAGCAAAGAACGTTGAGTTTTTAAATTGAACAGAAAGATAACAATGCCCGACCCACGCCTGTGTATAATGTTAACATATTCACACTGGGATACTGTGAATAATCTGACTTGGTACAAAAGATTCTCATAAAAGTCTTGGTGTAAAAAAGGTATCTGACTCTTATTGTGAGTCACATTAGGAAGCATGCTGGTACCTGGTATGTAGTTGCTCTGGGGCTCAATGCCAGCAGGGAAGTTGGTGTTTTCAGGGATTGAATGGCTGTAGTCATCCAGAGGTGGGAACTCACTGGGTATTTCTGTGTGTCTGGGCACCAGCACTGGTGGGAGTACTGTATGATGGACGTAAAGACAGACACACACACAACAAGTAGTTCCTTAGTACGTAGCGCTACTGGCTGGTTTCATGTCTTGATAAAATAAATAAATATAATGCAGCACAATTTAATAACAAAACAATAAAATGTTGCAATGTAACAATAAAACAGGACACAGTTATGCGCAATAAATCACAGAAAGAATATTGAATAAGCCCTCTAGATAAAAACAAGTCTATAAAAATGTGCTTTGGAAAAAAGGGCAGATCGTTCCACAGAAACGGGCCCTGACAGTAAAGTGAAGTTCTTGGAAAAAGTTGTTGTTTTCAAAACTCTTAGAACTGAAGACGAGATAAACAAAATCCGAGCGGTCATACCTGGCGTCTCTACTCTCTGGTAGTGGTACGGGTTGACGCACACTTCATCCTTCTTCGTGTGGAAGGCGTACTCGCACAGCTCCACCGCCCGCAGCTCATGGTGGGATTGCAGGTCGGGCCAGCGCCATAGACGGCAGTAGATGACGTGCGGCAGACCTTTTCTGTGGGAAACCTGCAGGCGGCCATCCAGAGACCTGAAGACAGGAAGAGAGGAAGAAGTAGAGCAGTTTGTTAATATGCTGCAGACTTTTGATTGAAATACTGATTTTTCACTGAGTTTTCACGCATTTTCAGTCGAGAACAAACTAAATGTTTTCTTGTTTGGTATTCTGATCATTTCTATCAGACTATTTACTTCATATTTCCTTAATAGTATTTAATTTTATGACAACATTACTGGTTTGGATATGAGACTTGCACTGGTTACTGTCTGACCTGCCTCTCTACCCCCTTTGTGAACATTGTGTCTAATCTTCTATATATATAAAAAAAATACTGGATATATTGGATATATTGGACATACTTGATATGGCAATTGTCTTAATCTTGTCTTTAATTTACTTTTTGAATGGTTGTTACAACTGTGGCTTTAGTATCAACATGTGTTGGAACACTGGAAACTGATACCTGACAAAGGTCTGTGAATGCACCACACACAATACAACACTACGTGTGGTGTTTATTATTGTTGTTAAGTCTGGAGTTGACTACCTCCTACTGATGAGGGTCCCAGCTGTGTGTGCACTGGTTATGAGGTGATGTCTTATAATAAACAACCTGTGATGAGATTACAATATGCATAACAGGAATTTCATTGTGTTGTATAACATCTGCACTCATCCGTCATACAATACTGTTGGCAGGATGAAGATTTAGGCTGCCAGTTAGTAATGAGCGGTAGTTTGACGCTGCAGATTGTCATAATGAAGATGTAGCCTTTAATCTCTAAGCACAATGACCCATGAAAGAGAAAAAAACACACTTATCGTCTTATGCAAGAGGCTATGACCACATATGTCCCTTCTATCTCTGCCTCACACACTCACTCCCACACACAAATACAGAGCAAGGGTCAAAGGCATAAGCTAAAGCCCTTTAGAAGGACAAATGTCTGTCCCCAAATAAAAACAAGGCCATGAACTACTGAAAGCTCAGTAGTGCCTCATCTGGGTCAACCATTGTACATCCAGCGAGCAGAGAATGGCGTTTTAATTTTTCATGGCAAAGGCTTTCATTCACTGCCTCTGTACTTCAAAAAGGGGCTGGGGAGTGTGTGTGTGTGTGGAGGGGGAGGATGTCTTGAATTTGTAAATGGTGTCTGAGTACTTCATGTGCACACAAGCAGACAGCTGAAGAAGCTTCCTGTGACTGAGAGCTACTTTATTCATGCCCAGCTTATTCACACCTAAAATCTGCACTCAGAACGGTCCTGCACAGCACAAACATTATATGATAAGGTTTTCCATATGGTCAAAGTGAGGTAAAGCAGTGACAGGTTGAAGTAGGGGTCCCATTATGGGCATCTAATGATTGAAAAGCGGAAATTAAGTTGTTAAGGCTTTTTTTTCAGTTTGTAAAAAAGAAAAACTGCCATTTCTTGGGGCTTTACACCTCAGTGCCGCAGTACCATTAGAGAACTGAAAGTTGTTAGCAGAGCTTTCCTCAACCATAAAATGCTATTATGGTCAATCAATAACACATAAACCAGCAGGTTTTTACTTCATACATGTCACAATAACAACATAAATGGTGTTTCTCATTGTACAGTCTGATAGGATGTATTGCATTGCAATCTTTATTAAAGCTTGTTCATGGTAAGTATTTTTTTAGAGTGAGCCGTAGCAACATCATGCATATTATCGCTGCTGACATGTCAAAAAGGAAGTGAGCAACAAAGGCCTAATGATATTGTAATAGGCCTAATGATAAATCTACTATATGAGGGCTAGGATAAGAATGTAATGTGGGTTAGGGATGCCTCATGATAACACAGGCATCTGATCAAAGAACACCCAGACTTCAGTCTTTTGATCTCAGTGTTGACAGATTGTGTGGAGATTTGGCTGCTCCCTCAAGCACAAATAAACTGGGTGTCCCTGTTTCGTAGGTTGCCATGCACCCAAGAAGAAAACCCTTACAATAAATACAAAACCTCTGTAAAGTTGATAATGTTCATGTTGTCAGCTTGTAGTGATGTTAAGCGTTATGTTAAATGACTTTTTGTCTGCATTTGTGAGGGTCTACTTGTGACCAGTGTTCCTCTTTTCTATTACGGTTTTCCTGTGTTTGCCACTATTGTCATGATTTATTGAAGCTGCTTCCTTTCACCACATTGCATACTTTTTCAATGTGACTAATGCTACAGCAACCCAGGTCAAAAGTGACTTAAAACATGTTGGACCTCTGTAAAAGCTAACTAGTGTTGTTTTAAGAGTTAGACAAACTAAAACAAACAAAGACAGTTAATAGCTTTGAAGCAACTTTGTAACAGTTACAAGGGCAGCTACAAAGGGGAATCATGGGAAATTGTCCAAAATCCATGATGACACGTGGGAAACACATGCAAAGTGCTGTTCAAGAGGAACAGTGATCACATGTAGATCACTAACTGAAGGAAACAGGATATTTACTTAATAGCAGTGCAAATTGAGCAATCAGAAATAACCAGAAAGTTTGAATAACTTTCTGACGGTATCCACAGAACAGTGCATTACAATCCTTAAAGAGGTAGTATTTGATGCAGGGTTGTTGTGGGCTTTTGGAGCAGAAACAAAATGAATTCACTGTTAAACGGTCAGACTGGGCTGAGCTGATGTCAGTGGTATGTGCGTTAGGTCCCTGCTGCTGAGTGGGTGTTTGGTGGAGCTAGACTCTGCGTGGGCTGGCACAGACATGCACAAACTACAGTGGCATTATTGGCTATTTGGTGTCCTGCAGTACTACAGTCCTTCTCTGTGTAAAGCCCCTTCCAGTCAGTGTTGAAGAAAACGGTTACAGTAAAAGGTACAGTATGAGTCACACTAATAGGATGAACTGCACGTTTAACACCACAAAATATCTACACTCCAGAGTCAATGAATCTGACTTTATGTAACGACCAACATCACCAATCCTCAGGCAGACTCTAATGCTGGGAACACAAAATGTGAGGTAATACCTAGTTATATCCCCCATTTGGCCATTAATGGAAATTACAATCAAGTCAATTTCATTTAGCTCACAGATGCAGTAAAGTAACAGTTTTTTACACCAGCCCAAAAAAGTTCCAAGAAGACAAGGAAAAACTAGACCAAAACTTTGGGAATACGGGAAAAAACTTGAAGAAACATGGGGAGAGATTGATGTCAGTTTTAACTCTGCACTGCTCAGTGAAACACAACACGGACAATCAGTTATATTTTCTAGTGTGGAAGTTTAAAATCCAACCTCCTGAGACTGAAGTGAGACCAAGTGTCAATCAATGGAATAGTGTGAAACTGACAGCAGTAATGTGTATCCACACATGTGGATGTTATGTTCAATGCAAACAGAACAGGGAACCACCTGTAAAAACATTGCTCCATAGCACTACTAGTGGTAAGAAACTTCAATGGTACCTTTAAATTAAGTGCTATACTTAACTTTATTTACAGGCCATACCAGTTTACACTGTTATATGGTAGTTTTATTCAGTTTGGTTTACCTACAGAAAAACACTAAAAGAAAAACAAACAGCAACAGTCAAAATATGACATAGACAGGTTCAGACACACACTTTATCCTGAATTACTCACTTTATTGAAGAGATTTATAACGGCATGTTGAATAAGACTTTAATGAGAAACACCTCCCTGACCGAACCACTCCTGCACACCATCAAGCCTCAGCTTGTTGTTTAGAGGAAGAGTCAGTAGCACTGTCTAAACAGTCAACCTCAGATCCTGCAAAACACTTTAAAATGATTTGGAGCTCAGAGTGCTTCAGCTATGTAGCCTGGGAGCCAGAAAGGGGGGAGAACTATGACCCCAAATTCCCTGCTGGGCTCCTCTGTGTGTGTGTGTGTTCCAGACTGAAGATTTGAAGGACATGGGTGGGACCTCAAGGCTTCCAAGAATTCAGGCCAACCTTCAGCTCCTCCCTGCAGCACCAGAAACTGGTCAACACAGATCACCACAGACGGACTTTGTTTACAGACAAAGTCAAAAATTAGATGGATAACGATGACAAAGAATGTTTTGTTTTGCCAAAGCTTTTTGCAATACTAATGTAAAACTGTTTTTTACAACTGTTTGCCCCAAATTTGTCTTTCAACAATGCAGACAGTACTACCCAGAAATCTGAGGCTGAAGAAGGCCGAAAACTGTGAACACACAGTTGTCTAGCGACACATTATTTTCTTGATTAATTGATTTTATTAATTTTGTCTGTGACATATCAGAAAACTGTCCACTCTATGTGATACAGTGATATAAACCAAAGAAAAGAAACAAAATTTCAAACTGAAGAAGCTGGAGCTTGAAAACAGACTTGACTGATTTATCAATAGTCAAAATTGTTGTTTCATTTTCTGTTGGTATATCTGTTGAATTACATCTCACAAAACTTTGACATAAATGTGATGTGATTTTAATTCCAGTTTTTACACTACAATTTCGACACAGTTCGACTGTGTAATACGTCACAATGATTTCAACATTTAATAAAATTCCCAATGACATTACTTAATGTCTATAACTAGGGGCCGTTTGCCATTTTTGCTTAAAAAATAACTTTAACTTTAAATAATTGACAATTATTTTTCTGTCGACAGACTAATGGATTAAATGACTAATCTTTTAAGCGCCAGTTACTACAGACATTGTTTTCATTTTAAAGCAGAGGTGATAAAGATGACAAGAAAACTACAGCAAAATTGATTCCCTTGATTCCCTTTCTGATTGAGAACAAGATCCACAGCGTTGATGTTTCTCTGTCAAGAGACAGTCAGAGTGAAACTGATGTCCAAAAATGAAAGGGACAAATTGGTATAGATTTTTTGCCACAGGGGAAATTGTGTCAACATCATTGTGTTCCACGACCCGAAGCTAAGGCTAAACCTGACCTTTACGCCCAACCAGCTCTGTTTGTGTGTGAATGATAGAGAGTGCGATAGTAGTAGATTTGCACGCACACGCACACACACACACACACACACAGGTATGAGTAAGGGTGAGAT